AATACAAGTATTATTTTAGAATGTAATGCTTATGAAATCATTTTATTAGATTACTTTTGCTATTATTAAATACATTTGTTGCGACTTTTTCGTGATGTACGTGACCTGCTTTGCTAAGTAATTGACTATCCTTCTTGTGCTGACAAAATAGATTTCACTTGAAAAAAAATCCACGAGAGAGGGTCTGCAGCTAGTAAGTATGGTAATAACATTAAATTATCCCTGCATTGTGATGATGTAATGTAACAGTAGCTCTGTTTGCATGCCGAGGCACGTCGGACAAAACGAGACGCTTTATTAATAACAGCTTTGCATGAAGTATGGTTGTACTTTCTATGCTCCCTCAGATTCATTATCACTATATTCTTTCATGTGTCCATATCCCCAGCATGATCTGGTACCTACATGGTATAAAGTTTTAAAAACAGGAACCTAAAATGCATGGTCTCTCCGCTGTCGCTACCCGAATTCGGGAGGCAACAAAACCCCGCCCCTTACGCTTGGTGGCGAGCTCCGCGACAATTGCCAGGCAATTGGTGGCAGCTGGCATGCACCCGTTTTCAACACTGCTTTAGCTGAAACACAGACGACTGGTAACACGTGCAACATGCGTTGTCTAGGTAAGCGTACAACATTGCAGTTACCCTGTAATCCTTCATTAATTCTATCTTATTGCAAAGTTAAAGTATTCAGACGTGACCATCGAGATCTACTACGCTTGAAGGCCTCTAACAGGCCGAACAAATAAAGCTGTCAGTGTGGCGTCAATAACTATTTTGCAGCATCTCTACACGGGAAGCCGTTAAGAGCGCGTCTCTTCGAAATTGCCAGAGTCAGGCACTACTTCAAACGAAGGTTCGTCAACATGTCACGCGCTAGATATCCTGAATCCACACGCTACAGACGTCACTCACCTCACACAAGACAACGGGTACAACCAAGATATGCACCATCTGCCTCGACTAAAAGCGAGTCCAGTGGCAAGTCGACGCAGAGAAAAGAGAAACCTTCGTTTTTCTTCCAACTGGCTGCATTTTTAGATGGCACAGACCGTCGTCTATTCGAGTCGGTTTTGAAAGGTGCAGAAGGTAGATCAACAGACGATGCAACAGACACTGGGCCACCAAGAGACTACGCAGACAGTGCGACAGGCAAGCACTATCGGTCAGACAGCCCCATGCCGAGAGAACCTGCAGACAACTCTACAGGAAGAGGTAGCAGGCTCTTAAGAGATTATAAAATACTGGGAGAAATAGGGAAGGGATGTAATGGAGATGTCCGAGTGAGTGTGCCTCTGCACAATGAATTATCGGGTTGTAATGCCTCTGGCTAAAAAAAGCTCTATTTGGTGAACAAAATTTGAAATTTCTAGAAGGCTGAAGTCCTGCCAACTGCGAGAGCCAAGGGAGGCAGATGTCATTTTCGTGCGATAAAAGCAATGTATCAACCAGTCGACAACGAAGTTAAGGAAAGATTGGAAGCTGCGAAAGGAGTACTACGCAGTCTCAATGATTGTCCGAACATCGTAAGTCCGTATGTTGAACTATCAGGTTGTGTCGGGACATATAAATCACTGGGACCTCAATAATAATGCTAGATTTATTTCTACACGTGTTTTACTGAAACTACAACAACTGGCACTGAACACTTGCTTTTTGTGAACGAGTATGCAGAAGGAGGTAACCTTAGCGCAAGAATAAAGAAGAACGATTCATTACATGAGAAGGATCCATTACATGAGCAAGACAAAAAGGCAATCATATAGTAAGTAGACCTCGAAGTGTTTCTGTGTATGATCTAATCATTCGATATGTAAGCGGCACTCTAAAAGGACTAAGTTATCTTTATGAAGTTGGAATAGTACATCGTAACATCACGTAGGTGAAAACTGTCCCTGATGAAATTCTGGAACTGATGTTTATGCTCTTAATCACAGACCCAACAACATTCTTATCTCTAGCAGACCCGGTCGGCCCATTGAGTGGCGCAGGGTCAAAATTTCAGATCTTATGTTGTAGGAATCTAGACTGTGTGAATCTACTTATTAAGGTAAATACTGACTATCATTTAAAGCTGCAAAGGAGTAGAGCACGGAGTTGCAATGAGAGTCGCCGAGCCACAAGGACCGACTACTTTCATGGCCCCTGAAGTTTTTAAGAGAAAAATAATTTACTTTTCTCAGGATATATGGGCGTTTGGGTAAGGAAGAAGATCGGTACATTAGCTATATAGGCCAGGTTGATTCAGGAAATGTTCTAGAGTCATTACTTATGAGATGTATAATGGTGAAAATTCCTTACTCTGGCCAAGCTCAAGCTCAATGTAAGAATCTCTTTTCTCCAACCTCGAGTCATGACTGATCAGGAATCGCACAGGTCTGATCAGGAAGAATACGCAAAGATTCTGTGGAGGTCATCAATCACCTGGACTACTCGGGGGTGGAAATCCATTTATAATAAAAGTGGCGAGTGATTCCTATTGATTGCAAACAAGGATTTCGCACTCAAACGAAGCCACATCTAGCTGTGCGTTTGTGTCAGAGTATGCTCAATCCAGATTTCGAAACTCGGGCTAAGGCAAGCAGCCTTATCGAGGATCCTGTGAGCAGCTATCTATAGTGACTACATTTAAGCACTAAGAGTTGTACTTTTGTAGTGGTTCAGAGAGTTTTGCGACAGGGGGTTCTCAACCAGACGGGTATTTGTGTTAGAATAGGTTTAACATGGTTTGCAGCCAAGATGTTCAAGCACACCTTGCATTTCCTTTGTGGGCAGAGATGAAATTTGTAGATAAATATGTATGTTCGGTCTTGCTACACATTTGTTGGCTGTTATCAAAGGTACAAGTTTATACGAGGTTGTTGATTTGTTTCCATTGTTGAAAGGAATGCACGAAGATTGCGTTCGAGCTTGCTGTAGCTCTTGAAGTAATACACAATGCACATACAGTACCAGTAATATAAAATCGAGAGTTCTTTGGTCGGAAAGGACGTCCATAGAGGGTTTCCTTCTATTGGGATGTGTATCATAGTTTAGGACACAAAGAAGAGTTTGCGTTGGACATTCGCACTTATCTTGTCTTCGTGCATCTGCTTTAGAGTCTGTGAATTAGAGAGAAACCATGCACGAGTGACAACCTGTCTGTACAGATTTACTGTACTTCCTTGTACTTCCTTGAGTTTGGTTGTAAGTTTAGGAAAATGGGATCACAAATGAACTAATAACAAACAGTTATGGCCTGTTACACACTTATGTTAGCAAACCTGGAACTTAACAGAACTTGTTTGTAACAGTGTTTAGTACTTCCCTAGTACTGTTCCAGACTACTCTCTATCTTGTGTTTACTATTTTCTAGTACTCTGTGTGTAGTGTATATGCTTACATGTGTAAAATTTCCCACATATACACATACACACATATAATTACAGGTGTAAACTGGGTCAGTAGGACCCATATACAATACACTACTTCTGTATACAGTGTATACAGTGTATACACTGTGCCAAATATAACAAGATACTTTACATTAAAATAGCTCATAAAAGTACACTATTATCTTTCAAAACAAATGCTTGATATTACTAAGCTAAGAAAATGTATTATAGTACTGTTTACACACAGAAATAAGACAGTTGAGTGTTGTGAGTTAATATCATATAACAGCTCTAAACCTTCATGTAATGTACTGTAGTAACTATACTAACTGTAGTACTCATACTAGTACTTTTTAAGTTAAACAAGGTTGTTATATAGTATTAAAATGATTTGGTATATAAATAAGTAAAGTAAATAAGGTTTAGAAACTCAAACTTAGTATTTAATTAGAGAATATGCTTAGTAATACTGTATACTCGTATACAGTGTATACGGAAATTTTTTACTTATGGTATACACATATGTGCATAAATATATGCCTGTATTTTCAGCTAAAATTTTCTCTTACAATACAGTGTGTAAGTGTATACACTGCAGGCATATCTGTAAATTATGCTACAGTGCAGAGCACTACTATTTTCCTTGCTACTAAGTCCAAAATATTACATAATTTCTTACATCACATTACTTTGCTCAAAATTGAAAAGTCTCATTACTTATACAAACAGGTGTAATGTATACAAAACACTGACAGAACAAAAGTATCTTTGTTACAGTCAGGAATAAGAACTAGTCTATGTACATGTAAGAACTCACCTTTGTTATAGTCAGAAATAAGAACTGGTGTAATAAAGGTGAAAGATCAAAACTATATATATTAGAAATAAAACAAAGGTAACTTATACTTAAAGGGGAAAACAATGCTAAAAAGAAAAGGAGAGTGTATATACTTAAGAATAAAGAGTATGTGACTCAGACAATAAGGAAACATAGTGTAAAGACAAAAGAGGAAATGTGTGTGACTCTAGGGTCTACACTAAGAAGGTTTAGGCTTAGGAGAAGATCTAGGTTTGAAAATATGGTTCTACACTAGGAGAGGTACAGAACAGTACAGAAGCTGTTATAAGCTATAGGGTAGGCTTACACTCTTCCCCCTTCTGAAAAAATAGTACTCTTGTGTAAGTGTAAGGTTAACTATACTTATAATACTTTAAAAGCTATTCTCTAGAGTTTAGACTTTATTTTCTATTTATATTCTTACTTACCCTATCCTTCCTATTTTACTAAATACTACTAACCTTACTCTCTATATCTTCTGTTTACAATCTATAATACTTTGTATACTTTCTTATCTCCTTCTATCAGACCTAGTTAGTTAAGAGTATGTTATAAAAATAAGGTATTATTATTTAAAATATAGTACTTTAGTTAACTTGTATAAAACTTAAGAAAGGTCTGATTAGAGTTAAGTAACTCTAGTATATATTCTGACTTGTCAAAGTTAACTATAATTATAAAGTATAATCTATTATAATATAGTATAAACTTTATAGTATGTTCTAGTGTTTGTACAAGATAATCCTAGTAGTAGTTATAAGTAGAGAGTATAATCTAGTCTTTTACTATAAAACAGTCTTCTACTATACAGTTCTAGTTAGTATAATGTACCTAGTGTGTCTTTACTATTAGAAGGGTGTCTTATACTTCTGTAACATTCTAGTATATGTAGGCAAGGAATTCTATAGCTTGTATCTCTAAGGAATCTACTTGTAACAGTTCTAAATGTTGTATAAGTAGTAAGACTATTTATAACAAGTACTCATATTATAATTAGAACAGGGAATAACTTATAAAAGTATTGACTGTGTTTATAAGACAGAATCATACTTATGAGAGCTAGACCTACTATCTTTACTGTTAGTAATCTATATAAAAGTGTAACAACTAGCTTACTATTTTGTTAGTGTACTTACTAGTACTATCTGTCTCTAAATAGTATACTATCAACATTTTCAGCTTTACACCTGTTTATACATGTAATACAGTCTAAAATTCAGAGAGGAACAAGTAGTCCCTATTAGAAACAATTTCCTAAGGTAAGCTGTTTTTACAATACTATTTATTAAAAAACAATTCTACAAACTCTTCTACTGTCATATTCATTCTACAAGGCTTAATTCTAATGTTTACTCTACTTAACCTATCTGTCATTATTACTATCCTATTCTATCTACTATCTTTTAGTAGTAGTCTAACAAAGTCAATTATAATACTCTTAAAACATACATTTAGGACTAGAAGTGGGTATAGTAGACTAACAGGTTTTATAGTCAGATTCTTGTTCTGTTAACACACATTGTATCTAGGAATGTAATTCTGCTTAAGATCCTAGTATATATTAAACTAATAGTATGAGTTGTGTAGGGTAAGGTATGTTTTGTCTGTACTAAAATGTTCTAGTTTATTATGTGTAAAGTAGTACAAGGTTTTGTAAACATTTCTAGTACTTAGAATTACTAACTAGTTGTTTAAGTATAAGAGCTTATAATCCTCCTAAACTCCCTCTATACTTTTAAGGTTGGTACACAGTTTATAATAGAATTTGTCTGTGTTGTAACTGTTCCTAATTGTTGTAAGAAGATCAGAATCTGTAGAGATCTGTATAACTGTCTCTCTTAAGGCTTTCTGAGTAGGACTTCTGTTTTCTGAGTTGGAGTTAAAGTCTAAGTAGTAGGAAAGTGTATCTGTAACTATATTCTCTTCTCTCTTAATGTAATGTAACTTGTAGTTATACTAGGAGAGCTCCTCTATCTACTAGGCTTGTCTTCTAAACAGATTCTATTGTGTATCCAAGTATTTAAGAGTACAATAATTAGTATAAACATAGAAATGTATTCTAAGGAGGTAAACACACTATTTCTTAAATGTACAGACAATTGTAAGGAGTTCCTACTTGTATACTAAGTAGTTACACTGTACACTATTGTATTACTTAGACTCAAATGCTATAGGTCTTACAGTTTTCTATAAGGATCTACTACTAAGAACTACTCTAGTCTTAGAGTTACTTATATTCATAGTTATATAAATTTGCTCACCTAAGTCATAGTTTATAAAGGTGAGACACTCTCTATTAGTAACAATTGACTTAATAACTTTGAAGGCCTACTAATGTTCTAGTTTCCATTCTAGAAAAACCTTGTTACAATCCTTACTTGTAAACAGGAAAAGGACTATAGTGTGTTCTACTAAGTATAGAAGGTATACTATAATATAGTGTAACAGTCTGAGGAATTTGTAGACATTCTTTACTCTCTAGGACTGTAACTATTGTAGAATGTTCTTAACCTTGTTCAGGTCTGCTTCTGTCCCCTTTATAGTAATCAGGTGTTTAAGGAACTTAACCTCTGTACAGAATAACTTAGTCTTCTTTTATAAACAGATAAGCCCTTTGTTACAGAGTGCTTGTATAACCTTTCTAATATTCCTAATGTATTCTACCTTAGACTATAACTAAATGATAATGTTATCCAAGTAGACATAACAGATTTTCCTGATAAGATACTCTAATACCTTTATAACCTACTACTATTATATAGCTAGTACATTGTATAACCTTATTAGTATGACTGTCTATTTGTACAACCTAAACAGAGTACTAATTATAGTGAGTAGAATATGTTCTGGGTTTATATGTGTTTAGAAGAACACATTAGTTATGTTAATCTTAGTATATATGTGTTCTCAGATAGTATCATTTATAATCTCATTAATACAGAGAAGTAGAGTATAATTATAGATTGTGTTACTATTTAGAGCCTAATAATTATATACTATTCATAAAAGATCTACAGGATCTACTTTCAGGATAAGAAACACAAGTGATACATACAGACTTTCTAACCTGTACAAACAACCTGTCTAAGTATACTAATTAATGAGTGTGTACTAAGTCTTCTAGTATTTTTGTAAACAAGTGTAAGATTGTGTAACTACTATCTTAGAAGGATCTTTAAACTGTATTTTATAAGTAACACTTTCAGGGAGCTCTACAACTAGTAGTATTGTGTCTAGGAAGTAGTCCTAATACTATTACTTTAGTTCCTTATCTAATGTCTTAAATCTCTCTAACTTAGCTAGAGTTTTCATATACTCTTAAATAGTTGTAGTTAAGGTTAACATAGGCTCTAAGGTTCTACAAGTTGGTTATAGAGTGTAAACTAGTTCTACAATTTCTACTTTCATTAGATTATAGTTAGAATCCTTTAGGATAACTGTCTAGCTTTCTATATTAATAATAATCTAATTCTTCTAAAGAAAGAGTATACTAAGAATCATTTTATTATACAAGTTATTAACTATACAAGCTTTTACAACTTTTAACATTCATTTCTGATCTACTAACTATACTCATAACTTTACTTACTCTATAATCTGTTTCCTTAACTCTTTTACTAATTTGATTGCTAGAGTTATAATAATGTGTTTCTTAAGTAGGAATTACTTAAGACTCATCTAGAACACTAGTTTCTTATTAATCAGAACTGTAAAACAATTAGAGTCAATTATAGATTGGATCTAGATTAGAGTAGAACTACCTTCTATAAGTATACAGTAGTTTAGAAATAGGAGAGAGTCAGAAATTAGAACATACTTAGATTCATCTCTACTTGTAGGTTCTAGTACTATAGACTACTCTGTTTGTACAGAAGTAGTAGACTTTTACTTTAAATGTAGGGACTTAATATATACTTCTATAATAAGGACTATGTTTTCTAGTTTAGACAGACTTGTAGGACAACTGTTCCTTCTATAATTTATAAAGGGTTTATAGTATTAGAAACATTCCTAGTTCTTTATTAGAAGCTAGTACTCTGTATAGGACAAGCTAATATACTTTACAGTACTTTCTAAGACAGTCTTTAGACTAGCTATTATAAGGATAACCTTTCTTGTGTGTTACTTCTCCTAATCCTTCTTCTAAGCCTGTTCTACTATGAGTATCACTTTTACACTATTACAAACCTTTATACAGTCTACTTCTAACTAGTTTACTAGTTTACACACATGTTCTAACTATTTGTAAAGTTTAGTACAATCTATTACTTCTTTTCCTAGAATCAGTTTTAGAGTTGAGAAATAATCTATAGAATTAGAGATCTGACTATTTACTAAGGTTATTATATACAACCTTTCTGTATATGTTATAAACTACTTAGAATGTGTTAGGACTAAATTTACAAGTGTAAGACAAAGCTTGAACTAAAGGTCTGAGTGTAGGTTAGCTTTAAGAAGTTTGTAAAGCTTATTAGAATTAAAGTACTAATCTTCTAAAAGACTAAAGTTAATCCTAGTAACTTGTAACTGTCATTCCTAGAAGTTGTAACTATCTTACTATATTATTAACAGTTTGTTCTAGGTTTATACTATTTAGTTTGTAGAGAGTATTTTATACTAAAGCTCTTAATAGAATGTATCTAGTATAAGCTCTTTAAGTCTTAACTAGTTATACTTATACTACTAACACAGTCTACTATCTTATAAACATTCTATTGTAACTGTAACTATACAGGTTGTAAGGATGGATTTAGTAAACATATACTTGTAGAATACAAAGATTTATAACTAGAGAGTGTATAGTGTTAGATTACTTAGAGTTAGTATTAGAAACTTTGTTATACTTTTCTAAACTATTTAGACTTTAGTTAATATAGTACAGAACATTATAACCTTTTAGTAGTTTAGAGTAGATAGCTCACTTGTATTACTTTCTAGTTTTAAGAGGTTTAAACTATTTACTAAATCTGAACTTAGGGTTACTATAAATAGTAATAGTATAAAGAAAGTAAATACAGTTTCTCTAGTTAATAAAGAAGCAACTATAATAGCTTCTAAAGATACCTAGTACTAGGAGAAATAAGACCTAATTATATACAGTTAGGAAGAGAGCTGAACTTGCTTTAAGACTGTAATAGTGTGTTTAAAAAGGTTAAAAAGTCTTACTAATAGTAGAGAGTGTTTAGAAAGGCTGGGAGAACTTTACTAATAGTAAAAAACATTTAGAAAGGTTGAGAGAATCTTACTAACATATAGTACAATAAAGACTACTTTGTTAATGTTAAAAAAAAAGTAGAACAGTATTAAGGAAGTGTTAAACACTATTATAAACAAGTTCTATTAAGTTCTAGGTTTACTAACATATATAGAATACTGACAGAACAAAAGTATCTTTATTACAGTTAGGAATAAGAACTAGTCTATGTATATATAAGAACTTACCTTTGTTATAGTTAGGAATAACAATTAGTATAATAAAGATAAAAGATTAAAACTATATATATTAGAAATAAAACAAAAGTAACTTATACTTAAAGAGGAAAACAATACTAAAGAGAAAAGGAGAGTGTATATACTTAAGAATAAAGAGTATGTAACTCAGACAATAAGAAAACATAGTATAAAGACAAAAGAGGAAATGTGTATAACTCTAAAGTTTATACTAAAAAGGTTTAGACTTAGAAGAAGGTTTAGGTTCAGAAATGTAGTTCTGTACTAAGAGAAGTATAGAATAGTATAGAAACTGTTATAAACTGTAGAGTAAGCTTACATAGTTTATCTTAATTCTGTTACAAATTATAAGTTGTAAGAAAGTTTAACTTTATAAAGAACTCTAGTAAGATTAAATACTAAAGTTTATATAATTAATTATACTTATGTTAACTATGTAAGATTAGTTTATTACTCTATAAGACACTTTATAAGATTAGTAAGAATATTATTAATAATTATTAATAAATTTATATTTAACTTATAAATTAAATACTAAACATTATAATAATACTTAACTACTAAACTACTAAACTATTATACTATTATAAATTTGTGTAATTTTATTAATTATATTATATACTTACCTAAACCTAAAAAAATGAGAAAAATATAATAATATACTCTTTATCCTAACTTAACCTAAACCTAACACAAAATCTAAACCTAACTTACTTACTAAACCTAATTAAAAAGTATAATCCTCTAAACCCTCTATCTATAGTATACAAATCAGACACTTAAAAATATGTTAAATATTTTTGTCATTATACACATATAGTAATATTATTATTAATATAATCTGATCAGATTTAAATAATCAGATTATATTATATAATATTTATATATAGTAAGAATCCAATTTATATATTATTTGTAATTATCTAAATAAGGTAATGAACTAATCTTACATAGTTGACATTGTGTAATCAATCATATAAACTTTAGTAATTAGTAAGGTTGATACTGAGTTTCCTTACAACTAGGAAGAATTAAGATAATTAACTTGTGAGTTTTGTGTTAATCAGATTTCTTATAATTTGAGTAGACAAACAAGTAAGGGATACAAGAAACATTATTTAATTTCAAAGTCTGACAACTCACAAGTACTCTAGAGTACTTGTGAGTTGTTGTTGTTTGACTACTACTTTAAGTAAGTATACAACCTGATCCTTATCTTAACCACCTAATTTTCATTTCAGTACTTTAGCATTTTTAGCATATTTCTTACATACTGTGTACAACTCACAACTTGTAAGAGAATTGAGATAGGCTAGTGAATGAGACATGTTGTGCCAGGAGTGTCTGAACACAATTCACATAGTGGTACAATGTGTTTTATACTTACAAATTTCCTCTAAGTCCAAATTGTCACATAATTTCTTACATTTTGTCATTTCTCCAAAAATCAGAAAGTCTCATTATATATGCAAACAGCTGTAATTGTTGTTCTATTCGAGTCTGCTCTTTGTGTTGCAAAGATTCAAAGAGAGCTCAACTGTCATGGAGAGGAACAAAAAAATGAGCATAAAATATTCAGCTGCTTTGCATTGATTAGCAAGAGTGGGAACGGATGGCGTCATTCTGGGTAAACACCATTTACCGTCCATGCTCCTTGTCCGTCCAATTTGGCATCAGCTATTTCATCCTTTGCTCCTTCTACTGCTTTCTTGCTGTACGATAGATCAAACGACGAGAAATCTGCAACGAAACTTGCCTGCAAGACCAGAAGAAATCCTGGGAAACGCAATGTAAGGCACATGGCGAGAACCGGATCTTACACAACGCACGGAATGCACGGCTTTTTTCTTCGTATCGAAGCCCTCTCCACATCTGCTCCTCATCTCTTCATCATCCTTGAATCCTCGTAATATAAGGGATATTCCCTCAGTCCAAGCTTTGTCTTAATAATTCTGACTCTCAATTGGCTCGGACGAAGGTCCAATTCCGATAACACCGCACGAAGTTGTAGGGCAGACATGGGCAAGACAGACGACATGGATTTTACACGCGAAGTATCCCATGCAGATGGCTTGATTGTACGGGGTGAAAAGCCTTTCAACGCCGAGCCACCTGCGTCTGCGCTCGTCGAGTTTAGGTATACGCCAGAGGAGTTGGTTTACTGTCGGAATCACAGTGCGTCTGGTCTTTCATTCATTCAGGTGGTTGCTGGTTTGACTGATTATCATATCTTGGGACGACTTTGTCGATTGTACGATATAGGCCCTGTATTTGAGTTGGATGAGGATGATTGGACTGTTACTATTGATGGTAGCGATGGACTTTTACCGAAGCCAATGGAATTCAATCTCAAGGAGTTGAAAGAAAACTTTACTTATGCAGAAGCTGTCGCCGCTCTACAGGTATGTATTTTCTCCCATGATGGACAGCTAAAAAGATATTTAATACTAAAAAAAAAATTATGCTTATTTTTCTCCGGCCAGTGCGCAGGAAACCGACGAAAGGAAATGGGTGCTATCAAACCCGTGAAGGGTATCACCTGGGATAATGGTGTCATCGCGAACTGTCGTTGGGGTGGTATTCGTTTGCGTGATGTCCTCCTGCACGCTGGAGTTGACGAGTCCATGGCGATGGACGACGATGTACATGTATGGTTCGCATCGCATGTGTCTACTTGTCAGGACGATTCGTATTATGGTGGTTCAATCCCGCTGAGAAAGGCGTTGGACCCAGAAGGCGATGTTCTACTTGCTTATGACGTATGTTCATTCTATAAACGTTATATTATATTCATTTCCTCGAGCTTACCTTGGTTATATAGATGAACTCACAAAGCATGTCTCCCGATCACGGCTATCCTCTCCGAATAGTCATCCCAGGCTATACAGGCGCTCGTTGGGTAAAATGGCTTGGGCGTATCAATATCGCGCGTGGAGAGTCGCCGAATTTCTACCAACAACGGGATTATAAGGTGCTTCCACCAGAATGTACAAACGCTGAACAAGCCGCTCCGTGGTGGGATAAAGTGGCTTCCATCGAATCGTTGCCTGTTAACTCTATCATTGCGAGTGTTAATGAGGTGTATGGAGAGGAAGGGAAGATACGTATTAAAGGATACGCGATGGGGAATGGTGGAGTTGGGGGGCAGATCGCGAGTGTGCAGGTTGCGATTGAACCTGACGAGGAAGGTGCTGAAGAACAGTGGGTGGATTCAGTCATCACGTATCAAGAAGGCAAATGGAGTTGGACACTTTGGGAATGCTTACTCGATGTCGGACCAATGAAGGCACGAATTGAGGGAAAGGGCGGAAAGCGAGAAATGAAGCTTGTGTGTCGTGCAAAGGATGGGAAAGGTGATATGCAGAAGAGGGAGTGTGCGTGGAATATGCGCGGTGTTGCATTTAATGCATATGGGCAGGGCGTTTGGCGGTGGTAAATTTATAGTTCCTCCTTTCATGCATGAACAAGGTGTATTATACTGTGTGTTTAGCGTCAGAAATTATTCCTTGTAAACCTCCCAAGACTTGCCCTGTAGAGTTGTCCTTAGCCTTCATTTGTTAAGTATTATGGATGCTATTTGTATTAAATCTTTACTCAGGCTGTTTCAAGGCTCATTGACAGACGAGGTCATGCACTGGAGGCAAGAATTACGTCAGCACATTATTTTTTAATTTCAGGAGGCTCACACCGTACCCAGCCTTTGCCCTCAAATTCTTCCCGGATCAGAACAGTACAGTATAGTCGATTGTCTCAAGGCTCTGACTCTGCTACTCTGCTAATGGACTCAGTTACCTCTGTCTATAAAGACATGGTATCCCAGTTACCCCCCCCCCTTTCCCTCTTACTCTACTAGCTCAGTTATTGTAATTCACACATCTAGACTAACACAACTTGAGCATACCTAAATTGTACCTTCTTCAAACTTGACATCCTATTTCGTTTCATAAGCATATTACTCACTCTCAGCCAAAAAGTGTACAGTACAACACTAGCTATGGTGTGTACTTTCTATCCAAACTCATACCTTCTAATCTAACACAAATATTCTGTAAAGGCTCAACAGTCCTCTAACAGTTGGTTCTGTACATCCTCAGAGTACTACTAGATAGTAGAACAGTGTACAAGGCTCTCAGATAGACTATATACTTATTGTATGTGTTCAAATTATAGGACTGTAAATAGGAATTTAATTATATATAAATAATAATAATAACAGTATTTATAATATATATAATACTATTTAATTTCTAAGACAACATACTCTCTTATACTGTCTCTACATTCTATCTCTATCTGTACTTGTTCTTCTACTGTTAACTGAGAAAGGACTAAGTACTTTTACTTTTATTATTATTACTAGTATTTTATTACTCTTTAAAATCTTTATAGTTAAAAGTATAATACTATTCATCTTATGTCTGGTAATTGTACTTACAAGTACTGTAAGTGTTATTATAACTATCAAAGTAGTAGGACAGAAACCTACTAAAAGGATAATAGTAGGATTGTAGATTATTATAATTGTGAGTCTATATTTTGTATATAGATAAACTATCTCTAATAGTTTTTTCTTAGTCAAGTCTGTTTCTAAAACTAATACTTAAAGTTGTTACAATCCTGTCCAAGTCAAGCAATCATAATTTACATATTACTTAAAATACATTCATATTTAGAGCTTTTATCCTCTCTACCTAGTACTTTTAGCTTTAAGTATTTAGTATTGTACTTTGTCTCTCTCTTAACTATAAGACACACTACACTATTCCTAACTTATTTAGTATGATTGTATTCAGCCTTTATATCTCAAGCATTGGATTCTTGTTTGTAAGCATTTTTGATATTTTGGAATTGGCACTAGGGATAGCTAACACTCTTGTCCTTCTAATTGTAATACTGTATTAATGAGCAAAGGTTTATCCTTAACAACTTCAGAACTTAGTTACTAATACTTTACAAGATTCTGAAAATCAGTCAGATAATTAATACTTCTTTAGATTGTCTTCTTACTAATATAAAATCTAAAGCAAATCCCTGCTTATCTAACAAAATCTGGTAGGATGATAATTGTAGTGTTGTGAGTCCAAGATGTTGTTCTATACATACAATTGGCACTGTCTGTGTGTAATTAATCTTGACTTTCTTAATCAAATCAGAGAATTTGGTGCATGTCTTCACGCCTATCCTGGTATCCGGTGTTACACATTGCACTACTGTGTTTTTCTAAGAACTGAGGAGTGTGGGTGTCCCTTGCGACCAGGACTTGGGCGCTACAGCTAGTACGCTTAGCAAGTGATTGCTTTATAGGCCAATCATTCCCTTTATCCGTCGAGCGTGTGTTGTCGACCTCTCTGCTTCCATTAAATCGAAAGTAGGAACCGGGTATCTCCTTCAGTTAGTGATCGATAAATTATCATGTCTTTTCCCGTGATACCCCTAACCAATGTTATCATTCATTTCTTTGTGGAAAGAGGCGGGCTGGGAGTAATAAAATAAGGTGTCGGGATGTCCGGAGACTGACCGAGAAGCGGAGACTAGCGTGGACAAGATGGACCATATGAGGAAGCGATACTTTCTTAAAATGAACTGAATTACATACTGGCATTTATTGCATAAAATCGAAGGGTCGCGTAGAGGCAGAGATTGAGCCAACTTGTTGGTTGGGAAGAGATGCTTCCAACCTATCCACCGTTCACAAAGTCTTCGAGACCGTACGTGTCCGTGCATTTCTCTTCTCTCCCCATCTGAACCACACATCCTGCTCGCGCTATGGGTAGCCTTGCACTCAATGTCACCGACCTCTCCACAACTTCGCGTTCTACCAACCTCCCAGCGCCCAATACGCCCAGTCCAAACTCAGCCCACCCCTCAGACTCCGTAGGTGTGCACAAGGAGGTTGGCTTTGAGATCCTTGAACGCGCGCGCGCGTGCCATCGCAAGCACGGCGAAGTGCCATATCCGCTCAGGTACAGCCACCAAAATCTCAACTTGTGAGTCCCCGGTCTGCGTACTTTTGGCGTACGAGAGCCCTGACGCTAGTACTTGCTCTTAACAGTGATGCCATCGACCACTTCCTCTTCTCAGATGTCGTCGGTGGTGTATCATTGCAAAAACTCGATGTACCGCCGAGACGTGTGCTTGACCTTGGCTGTGGGGGAGGGATGTGGATCATCGCTGCTGCTCAAGTCTGGACGGTGCGTCGAAGAATGCATGCATTCATCTCCGCGACCGCCGTTGTTGATAATGTTGACTAGGATACGACATTCGTCGGTTTTGACATACACAGAACTCAACCTAATTTGTGCCTAGCTATGCATAACGACCTTGCAAAACGCATAGAGTGGGTGCATGGCAACTTGTACGTATTTCCGCGTTCTACTTGGATCGTTCGCTTGACGTATGTGCAACCCCTGTCAGTCTTGAACTCCTTCCCTTCGCCGATGCGGATTTCGACTTGGTGCGCGTGCAAAGCATTGGACTCGGTGTACCAGAAGACGAGGTGGGTAATCTCGTGGAAGAAATCTCCACTCCAAAGCAAGTCTGATAGAGATGAATTTCGCTAGTGGCAAAACGTAATTGATGTGCGTATTTTTTTTTTGCTGCTGTAACGCTCCGTGGCGGCATCCCTGACAATGCTTCAGGAAATTGTACGGGTGCTAAAACCCGGCGGAAGCTTAGAAATCGTTGAAGAAGACATTTTATTCCCATGTCCTGAGACACCAATCACAAAAACACCCCGCGCATCCCCGACTTTGCGGGGACGGATGAATCGCAGCCATTCCCGCTCGACACAAGACACAATATATACTGAGGAGGAAAATGACGCTCTTTATGAAGAGTTTTTCGAAACTGAGAAGTCACGCAGTGTGGATACGATCTCTGATGCCCAACATGATCAGGTACTTATTCTACGTCATTTTTTTCTCTCATGATAATCAACGTGACCATAATTTTCTCGCAGAGAGATCACTCAAAAATAAAAGAAGCGTTCATGCAAATGCTAAGCGCCCGATTTATCAATCCGCAAGTCCTTATCGTTCTTCCATTTTATCTACAAGCAGCGTTCCAAGATGTGCAGTCCCTGCCCGTCATGCGATTGTTCTTACCTCCACCCAGTGGAGTTGTGTATAGCCCCGACCGATCGTCTGATTCAGACTATTCATCCTCACAATTATCGCTTGACTCTTCGTCATCAACACTCGTTGACTCGGCCTCATCTTCGGCTGCTTCCTCCCCAGCAATGAACCGTCGCTTCTTTGATACGCCGACGATCTCCCTATCGCCGGAGCAAGAGGCTCTGAAGACGCGTCTGCACTTATCGCGGACGATAGAAATGATCCGCGCCTGCAAAGAGTCTATTTGGGCGCAATATGAAGTAATCCATTCGCGTGAACGAAGGATGCCTAATACTCTTATGGACCGAGATGATTTCGAAGCGCTTTTCCACAACTGGGAATGGTACGGAATTTGTGCTTATCTGTCACAGCTAATAAAAAAAGCTGACTTATATCTGTATCATCTAGTGATATGCAAGATCGTTGCGGGATGCGGGAGCTAATTCAATCCAGTCTAGGGTGGCCTATCCCTGGCATGCTACCTAAGCCAGCTTGGCGAGACTGGCGCGAAAAAGGAGATACTGAAGACGTAGAGTCCTTCTACGCTTCTTCTCCACCAGAGCTTCTACGTTCGTTGCGAGGATTTGTGTGCAAGAAGCCGGTGCACATCATTCGTAGCGAGCTACCATTACCGGAAGTAAACCATCATTAAAATTCATTGAAGTCCGTTGTCCGCATTACCACCCAACTTATTACACAACTTAAATCATTCTATTTATCTATTGTCTAACGTCTATCGCTACATTAAGTTTCATCGTCGTTCTTACGCTGTGTTGCTTCGCTCATTTCAGCTGGTCGCTTTCGTTCATGGATTCATTGTTTCACCTTGTGGACTACATCTCTTCTTCGGATTCATTCATGGTTCTTGTAAGCATACTTCTTCCTTCACTTCGCAATTCATGTATATATCTCTGGCCTACTGTTTCACTGTTTCAGTCTTGATGCCATTATTACGACTGCCTTAGTTGCTCCTCACACGCATCATATTGGCACTCACCGTTCTCCACTTTCATCTTCTTTTCGGATGCAAATATTCTCCGTTTCATGTTCATTATTTCTGTCTCGGGAAGGCTTTTATATGGGATTTCATACGTGCGGCTCATCAGGACGGTTATTTATTGCTATCAGAGCTCTCTGTCTACTGTATTAGAGGATTTCTTTCTTTACATTTACTTATTTTCTGTGCCATACATTCTGTTTGATTTAAGTTTCTCTTTCGAATGAACATAAATTGTACATGCATCAATTGAGTGGTTGAATGACTCTTGTGATATACAGTACCCATTCGGGTCCGACACACCTTCCTATTCAGGAAAGTCAACGAAAGTCAACCTGCCTGAATCTAATTTCACTTCCGGCGAATCAGAACTCTTCCCTTCCCTTTCTCTTACCTCTTACCTCTTACCTTCTAACTTCATCCTCGAATTTGGATTGCCTACAAAGCTTTTTTTGACTAGAAGTGAACGATGTCGTCTGAGGAGATGAAGTCAAAGTCGGCGGAGGAAAAGCCGAGGTCGACGGCTGCGGAGGATTTCACGAAGTATAAGGTATGGGTTCTGTTGTTTGGTTTGTCGTGTGCTTGTGGTTTGTTTCGTTCCTGGAGATGACACCCTGATGAATTTTGTGTAACTCCATCCCTAAGGGGAGCTTTCATACCGATCATCTTTTTCATCCAAATTCACGATGAATTGAAGAAATGCTGATTTCATACCGATTTTTAAACTTGGTTGGTTTTTTAGACCGCTGCGGACATCGTGAACAATGTGATGAAGCAGCTCGTCGAGCTCTGCGTCGAGGGCGCGAACGTCCTTGAGCTATGCGTCAAGGGAGATGAGTTGATCGAGCAAGGCACGGGATCTGTCTTCAACAAACCGATCAAGGGGGTAAAGGTAGCCAAAGGTACGTCCAACTTCGACCAGATTCACTCTGAAATAATATATTATCCCATGGACATTCAGGAATTGCCTTCCCGACGTGTATATCGATAAACAACTGCGTCGCACATTTCTCTCCACTCGCGTATGTCGTCTACACATCGCATATACGTGCATATACGCGTCCCTTTCTAACAATTTGTCCCTTCTCCGCCACCATCTTGATTTCTCAATGGATGAATGATCAAACATAGATCCGATCCCGCATCGTCACAAACTCTCGCAAAGGATGACGTTGTGAAGCTTCATCTGGGCGCACACATCGATGGATTCGCGTCCATTGCGGCAGAGACGCTCGTCGTGGGTGCGAGTGCGGAGAACCCTGTTACGGGCCGTCGAGCGGATGCTATCAAGGCTGCTTGGCATGCAGCAGAGATCGCGATGCGTTTAGTGAAGGTTGGGAATAAGAATTGGGCAGTGACGGAAGCTGTGAATAAGGTTACTGCTGTTTGGGGGTGTAAAGCTGTTGAGGGTGAGTCGGTCTGGCGGCCTTCGTTTTGTTCTGTTTTGTTTTTTGTTTGGTATGATCTTTGATCTGAGACGATTTTTGAATTTTTGTGCGCGTAGGCATGCTATCATGTCAACAGACACAAAACGTCATTGATGGCAAGAAAAGAATTATCCTTAACCCTAGCGAGCAGCAAAAGAAGGACTTTGAGGCGATCACGTTTGCGGAGGATGAGGTGTGGGGGATAGATATCCTGGTTTCGACCGGCGAAGACGGGAAGGTCGGTCAACCTGCATTTATCTTTTGCCTAGAATTAAGTAACTCAACACACACTCATAACCTTGACGTCCTGTAGGCCCGCACCGAAGATACAAAAGCAACAGTCTACCAACGAGATCACACCATCACATACCAACTAAAGATGAAAACCTCCCGAGCGGTATTTTCGGAAGTCCAAAAGAAAGCCGGTGCATTCCCGTTCAATATTCGTGTATTGGAGGATGAGAAGAGGGCACGGATGGGTCTTCAGGAGGCGTGTCAGCATGCGTTGGTGAAGCCGTATGATGTGATGTGCGTCTGATCTTCTCACTTTTTTTTACCATCAAACTAAAATAAAATATTTAACTTGACCTTTCCTCCTTGCGTGCGTATAGCTACACCCCACCGGAAACCTTCGTTGCTGCGTTCCACTTCACCATCGCCTTACTCCCCGCCGGGCCATCGCTCATCACTCACCCTCCTGTATGGTACAAGCCTGAACTCGTGAAGACCGAGAAAGAGTTAGAAGATGAGGAGCTGAAGGAGTTACTTACGAGGAAGCTACGCGAAGATAAGAAAAAGAACAAGAAGAAGGCGAATGGAGAGGGCGAGGCGGAGTAAAAGGAGTAAAGGAAAGGACCTTGGTGTGAAGCCGGATGTATGCGTGGTGTGTTGTGTCGTGGTGTGTTGTGATGTGCTGACGGCGAAGTATAATCTTGTTCAATCTGTACATTGTGTAGCTACTGCACTCTATATTTTTGGAGTAACATGGAGAGTGGAAGACAAGCACTAAAGATGGATTGATACATGCATAAATGAACGTGATTATACAAAATTTTCGGTTAAGTATGGGAGACCAACTGCATATATGCACAAAACTGAGGTTCGTATGTATCAAAACGGAATGTAGAGGAATTAACTAGGGCTAAGCATCATCACGAAGCTTATCCTCCGCATCCTGACCAAACTCTCCCAAAGTCCGTATAACAAGCTCCACATTTTCCAAGAACGAGTTCACAGTCAAGCGTGCCAAGCGGATTGTCAGGCAGGAAAACGTCCTTTAAAGCAAAGAAAAACATCATCAAGCATACGTTCATGTTTTATTAGTTAATGTGTTAGACGCAGACGTACGCAACGAGTTCGTCATGCTCTACTGATAACGAGCGTTTGACGGCTTGAGGTTGTAATTCAGAATCAACTTCGATGGCTTGTTTCGCTACAGAGGCGTGTTTTGGTGAGGCAAACGGTATGCGTACGGTTCTAATAAATGAATAGGAAATTAAATGCTAGCTTCAGAAGTACGAAATAAAGACCGTTGTGAATCTGAAGCGCACACATTGTGCCATTGGTCTGCCTCGGCACTGGTATTGGATGTAGACATGATGGTTAAAAACAAGTGCTGACTTAACGCAGGCAACAAACTCGCACGCCTGCTTTAAGTCCCGAGTTCATTATTACTTGTTCTCCGATCGCCATATTGATTAGAATTTAACTATTCTTTGGCCGAGTTGTATCTTGTTTTTGTAATCACTTGCTCAGAAAAAATGAAGTTCAATTGAAGTTATTTATTAAAATATTATAGTCTGGCTCTAAGTACATGATCAAGATCAGAATTAGAGATTTTAGGTGCAATAGATACGTCGAGCTGAAGAAGAGCTCTCATGTCTAGAAGAGCGGAAGAGATAGCATGCTTGAAGGTTTCCGTTGAAGTGTCTTTACAGGAGAACTTTGATTCTATACCGAATTTGATTACGTCGGGTCCTGCTAAGTCTAGTTACGGCAAGAAAAGCTGATCAGTGGAAAGCAGTGGACAATGATGAGAGACGTAGACGTACAGTTGACCCCGTAGCCGTCATGATACGGTGCGCCGAATCTGTTCGGCAACGTAAGATTCCGAACTGCGTCACACAACGCGAAAGAGAGGAAAATGGTACTTACCCCGTCCCGCGGAAGTACGTCCCCGCGCTCAACCCACTCGTGCTAAGCTTCCACTCCTGACTCCTCGTGAAAAGCTCGTCGTCGAATAGAGGGGACGATTCACCGTCTTTCATGAGGAGGCGTAATCCGAGTAGGTGTCGGTCGATACCTTTTCCAGTCGCTGCTGCTTTCGTTAGGAGGGCGTGGGTCTTGACGGCCTGGCGTAAGAGGCGGAGACGGTCTTCAGTCTGGGTTCGAAGGAATGTCAGAGTGATATAGCGTGAAGATTGGTGGGAGGTGAGATGGGACGTACTGAGGTTGTTGGATTACACATCGCGAGGACAAAGTTCCTCGAGTCTGTTGTTAGTGTTCGAATCGTTTCCGTACGTCCGTGTTGGAATAGCCTTGTTAACACTGTCTCGTATGTTGCAGTGAACGATCCGCGCGTACGGTACCATGCAAGCTGCATTACCATCTGGATGAACGCGTCCGGGGGGAGAAGAGCTGAAGGCGCCCACAAGACCGAGAGAAGAAACCATTAGCGTTTTCCGCATCGCGAGAAAAGCTGTCAAGCCGTACCGTTGTTCTTTATCCAATCAGTTCCGTATTCAGTGAACCACATAACATCGTCATCCGAATCATTAATAAGAACTTTAGCACGTTCTTCCGCCTCCTTGCACTCCTTGATCAGCCGTTCGTCAACTACCCAGCCGAGCTGTTGCCAACGTCTCGGCTCCTCATTCTCAGATTTCGCAGCATCAAACGACTGCAAAGGCGGCCAGTCCACATCAGACTCCATATCTGCCGCAAGCGAATAATCCGCAACGATACTCGGCACAAGCGCGTCTACAGGGGAATGCTCGCCCATCATCCCCGCTCGTGCATTCCTCTCGACGATCAGCGTAATACCCTTATCGAACCACCTGTTTCGTGCGTTCATACCCGAACGGATATTGTGTAGGTGTGATTTCAGTTCGGAAGGATGTGGGTCGCGAGTTTCGTATGTGTAGTGGTCCAGGCTGACAGCCATCGTGCAGTCTTCGATTGTTTGTAATGTCTCGCGGTTGGTAGGAGATAGTTGGGAGATATATGTATAATTCTGCAACGCAGTCATATCAGTGTGAGGATAATCGCAGTTCATGAGTGGTGTAGCTTACCTGAGTCCAGTTATCTCTGTTATCAGAAGTCAGAACTCCAATCGGCAAAGCCCTCTCTCCAGAAGCCAGTCGTCTGTCCGCGTCAAGAACAATATCGCGAATCCGTTTCTCTAGCTCTATATGTCCGATATTTGTATTCCCACCATCGTAGACGTCCACGACGTAAATCCAATCGTGAAGCATGACCATTACTTTATTCTTTGAGGGTGCAGAGGGTTGCGAATGGGAAAGCCTATCACAGACAGGTCGAGGTATCCTGCACACGTTGAACATCCTCGGAACGGTATGTCGCATCCATTTGCCGGTGTGCGTGGTATCAGGATGTAATTCTTGCCTTTGATTCATCCGTTATTAGAAATTGGGGATGGTACAAAAAGAAATGAAGAGAAAACACTTACGATTCTATTCGCTCTCTAAATTGAAGTGTCCGGCTAAGTAGCCAAGCAGCTCGACGAATTTGCCAAGATGTTATTCCTGCACGTACATCTCCTGCATCGACTCCCTTTTGTACGGATTCCGGTACAGTGCGGTCGTCTTTGTACGCTAACCACCAATTCGAATTAATGAGCAACGGAGCGCGACATTCCAAGTATGCCTTCTTCAGCCAAAAGTTATCGTCTAGCCAGTTATATAGAGATTTCTTGTCGAGTTCTGTATTTTAAAAAATGTCAAGTAAGCGCGACATTAATATGACTTGATGGGAAAAGAAAGAACAGGCTGAACGGACAAACCTAAAAGTCGTTCCTGTAATGTCCTTCCTAGCCCACGTTCGAACTCATTTATCATATTCACCCTTGCACGCATTGCGTCTTTAAATGAAGCGCCTCCGCGTGCTTCATCCTCGAGAAGGAAAGGCTCAAGTGATTCGAGGTAACGGTCCAAGGTGCTGCGAAGACGAGGGACTGGGAGTCGAGGAAGAGGTCGAGCACTACTAGCACTTGAAGTGGAAGAGACATTTGGACCAGAGTTAAGAGCAGTTGAAGACACGTCTGACATGCGTCTTCTGGACATGAGCGGTAGTGGACGAGTCAGCGCCAATGTTCTTGAGAACATTATTGCGCAACGTATTTTATTAAAAGAAGCCGACGTTGTAAACCGGAACAGTCGGACTCGGATCAGTAATCACCAAGTTTTCCTCCTTACACCCCAGCGTCTTTGAGTCGGCCCCAGGCTAGATCTATAGCATCGTAGGTTGAATATATGCTTACGACCAGGCGAGATGAAATATGGTCGAACTTGAAGAGGAAGACAAGAGTGTAATGATCAAGAAAAGCCGAATTTTAAAATATTTCTTGATTCCGTCATCAAAAATTCCCTCCGGGTCATCACGTGCCTTTTCATTTCCGCTTCCTCCTCACTGACCAGTGACCTCAGTCATCGCACCAGCCTCCGCCCATCACACACTAGACCAAAATGGCCACACCTTTCCTCGTTGGCATCGGCGCCATAGGTGCAGCTCTCATCGGCCGCCAAGTCCTTCGTGCTGGTGCCAAATCCGGCGCTGAGCAATTCGTCAAGGGTGGGTTCAAAACAAAAATGGATCGGAAGGAGGCGATTGCAATCCTTGGTCTGAAGTACGTTTTGTCTTGTCTTTTGTCTACCTCCATTCTGCAACTACCTTTGAGCTATTTTTTGTATTTTGTGACATTTTACGTTAGTTTCTCGTTACTAATGTCGTGCTTTTAGAGACACCCCTCCTCTACGAACGAAACTCAAAGACGCACACCGACAAATCATGCTTGCGAACCACCCAGACCGAGGCGGTTCGCCATACCTCGCGAGCAAAATTAACGAAGCGAAGGATTTACTGGACAAATTGGAAGGAAGAGGGCGATAACCTTACCTTGCTCTGATAGGTGTGTACTTTACTCGTCGCTCGTAGTTTTCAAAGAATGCATCCGTCTTACTAATATTTAGGTTTCTTTAGAATCTGCTTTTCGTATTGTTCTATAATTCGTGCAATCCCCACTTTCGCCTGTATTTGCATTATGGATATATATATCTCTCACCATAATACACACAGAACAGCTCAGTGAAATGTACCCTAGTCATACGAAAGGGAAAATCACAAAACTACCGCCTCTAAATACCATTCCAGTGTGTATTGGATACAACACAGCAGGTATTCCATATACATTTCCACTTTTGTATAGCACTCTTCTCATCCTATACCTGACTTCAAACTTGATTCATTACTTTCCACCCATTTCCACAACCTGTATAGCCAGGGATAACTTTGGAGAGGGTGGTCATAGTTAGGAGACATACTCTGTGAGCTCATCTATGAGAATGAACCAAATGACTAGAGTAGGCTCAACAAAAATTACTCATTTCCTAGATGAATATATAGTAAAAAGCAAGTAAAGTATTCTCCCTCTAGGTCTAGCACCTTTTCTAGTAAATGAGACAAGTATAATATGAATTGTCTGACAAATGGATACATGTGCCAAAAACTATATATGTAACTGTTGTTTAACACTATAGTAGATGAACTCTAAGATGCTAGAGAATGTTGTATAGATGAAGGCATGTGTAAAATCCATATTGTCAGTCTTACTAATGTAGGTCTTACTACTTTATATAATGTTATCAAAATCAGGGATCCTAGCCAAGTAAAGATCCATAATTTTATACTAAATAAAGACTTGTGTTAAGAGTTCTATTATAGTGTTAAGTATGTAGGATCTGAGGCTGAGAGATACAGGAGAGGGGTAGGAGAAGAAGAAAGCTACAATACTAATAATAAAAGTTGTACTCTTTATGTACTGAGTAAGGTCCAGTTCTCTTGTAACAGATTCTAAACTGTTGTAAATGCTAAAATATGTCTTTTGTAACTTTACTACCTTTTTAAGATAAGCTCAACCAATTGCCTCTAAGTGAATTTGTTTACTAACTAAGAATAGTCAACTCTCTCTAATAACTTAGAAAACCTAATAAATAAACCTATTAATTTTCTGTATTCAACTTTAACAACTACTACTTTCTTACATATTTAAGACTTAGGCTTGTTCTTAAGTTGTAGAGTAATAATAAAGACTTAAAGAGAATAGAACAAAAATGAGTATTACCTGATTAACTTACAGATAGTAGAATAGTGTATACATAATGAATGTGTATTCAATCCAGTCTAGGAACATTCTAGTCAGGAGTGTCTAATCCTATAACCTGTACACTCATAGTTATTCAGGACTATTAGGGATTATAATAAAATTAACAGGATTACAAGTGTAAAAAATAGAAAAAGTAGACTGTTAACTTGAAATAGAAACACACTTTAGTGCTTTTCACTCATTACTGTTACATATAATAAAATAGAAAACAAAGAATATCAACTTAAAATAAAAATATACTTTAGTGTTTTTCACTTATTACTATTGTGTGTAGAAAAATAAATAAAAACATAGACTATTAACTTAAAATAGAAACACACTTTAGTACTTTTTACTTATTACTATTTGCATGTAGAAAAATAGAAAACATAAACTATTAATGTAAAATCAAAATACACCTTAGTGCTTTTTGCTCATTACTGTTTATAAATCAATTAGGAAGGTTTAATTATTACTAATTAAAAGTACTAGTTGAACTCTTTTAAGTAGACTTCTGTGTGTAAGAATACAATGTTTTGTCTTTTTCAAACTCTGCCCTCTGTAAACAGCCTGTCCTACCAATCTTACTCTGTTTATACAGGATCAGGTCTCATTGTTTACTGCTGGTTTGCTCTTGTTAGTTGCACTGAAATACAGACTTTCGTTTGCAATACTATATGTATTTGGATGTTGTAACCGGATTAGGCAATTGACCCGTGTCTGCACGAGATAATGATCCTCTAGACTTCTGCATGCCCTCTCGCTCAATCCAATGAATACGCACGCGCTTCGCCGCCTAGCCGTCTGGCAGCGCACTCTCACCTCTGTTCGTCCCGTAATACGACGAGAATATGCAACGCAAGAAAAAGATCCGCAGCTAGGCGATTACCCACAACTTCCAAACATCTCTCGGGGTACGTTGCCTCCACTGGGATGGTGGGATAACCAGATGCGTCGCAATTTCGGAGACATCGTGCGTCTTTCTATCCATTTCAACATTTACTTGCGGCTTTCTTACCTTTATTTGTTTTCGTTGGGTATCGGAATACGAATGTGTTGATATGAACGGATGGACATGGTCACGTACACGGGAGACAGCCTCATGAAAAGGACGAAATGTACTCGATGTGGGGACCGGATCCCCCTACTCTCGAACCCAGGACGGCGCTATTCAGATTCGGCCTCGGGGTAGCGATGTTTGGCGGTATCATGTTGTTTGCGTACGCTGCGACGCCAGAGTTGAAAGCTGTTCGGCGGCAATACCCGTTCGATGGGCTCGTGAAGGAACTTGGGGGTGTGGAGCAGAATAAGGTGTGTAAGCTACGAGTATGAGTTTGTGTCGTGCCATTGGACTTATGAAGATGCTATTTGTATAGGCCATCCCAGAGTCGCTAGAAGAAGATGCGGAGTAATGTGTTGTTTAGACCAACTTGAATCAACAACTCTTTCTTTCAACTTCGACGCGAGCTCGGTCTGAACGACTAATTCCGAAGCGTACAACAGGATAATAAATTCCGAAGAGAATGGAATAAGTTATTTAAACGCTATAAGCTAACATTCAAATATATACAAGATGAAGCCCATTTCCCGACCTTCCTAGATGTACGGTTTATTCTCGGTATTCGGATTCTTCAGACCCAGAGTCGAGAGCGCCGAGCATATTATCCTCCTCTTCCCCTTTAGCATAGACATTCACTGCTTTGTCACCTTTGAATGCAGGTCTTGGTTTGACGCGTTTCCTCAACGTCATTTCGCGTGCCGGGGCGTCGTCTGGTGCACCTCCAGGTACGAATTCCTCGCTGGTGTCTGAAGGAGAGTCTGCTGTTGACCTAGCTGTGGACTTTCCCTTCGTTTTAGCCCTCGACTTGCGTGTCCCTTTCTGTTTCGTTTCCGACGGTGTGCCAGACCCTTCTCTGTTACCGTCAGAGGCTCCTTTGGCACCACGTTTGCCAGGAGGACCATTCTTCCTTGTCCTCTCCTTCTTTCCTCGAACTATCTCACTCTCCTCTTCTAAGGAGGCCTTCTTCGCTCTCTTTTTCGCAGGCTGTTTCTCCTCTTCTTCACTGGATCCCTCATCTGTGCCTCCCGTGCGTGCTTTTTGAGCCTTGCGATGTGCAGTAACCAAGGCCTGCAAGCGCCGGCTCGCATACGCTTCTCGTCTCCGGGGTTCAGCTGCGCCTGCACCTTCAGAGACTGAAAAGAAGGTATTGAGAGTATCTTGGCGATTTGCTGTTGATTGCTGCGAATTTGAAATTGAAAAGTCAGAATAGCGAACGCAACGTGATAACTTCAAACTCGATTATTACCTGACCGCGCTTGTTCATCCTTTGAATGATTGGCAGCAGTAACTCGTCGACTTTTCCAGCGTTCCATGAGAGTTCGTCGTGGAAAAAGCTGTTCGTTCTGAATTAGCAAATAAGCCACCTGGCAGGAGACACTTGGATGAACCTTCGTAAGCCATCGAGGTCTGGGAGTCCCCACTTAAAGGGCTCTTCTGATGTGTCAACAACGGGATGGTAGTATGCATCTCGCTAATGGATCCCTAAGATTAATCGTCATTAATGATGAGCCAATTTAACTTACCACAGCCGGATTAGGCCAATCACCTGGCAAGTACAGATCCTTAAAGCGCTTTTTCTATGCAAAGCAGCGCATCGGCATGTGCAGCGATTTCACGTTTCGTAATGGGCAAGGCTATCACTTACAAAGCGTCTCCTGAAATTGGAGATATTATCTGATTCCCGGTCCCGTCCAGACTGCACTTTCATCCACCAGTCTTTAAACTTGTGTAACCCATCGTCTCCAGGGAACTCTTGAAGGAGCTCCATCGCAACGACAGGTCCCACACCTGGGAGGCCTAACGTATAATCGCTGCCTAGCAGATAAGCAAGTCGGATCAGCGTTCCGCGATCAAGGCCGAGTTCTCGAGCAAGGTCTGTGAGTAGGAAGCATTCGACAGTCTTGGATTGGTTGAACATATTCTTGTAGACGCGTTTCGCGCCGAAGAGGAAGACGTCAGAGTCATCCGTGATTACGCCGTCTACTAGGCCGAGGTCAACGAGTGCTGCGCATTGTGCTTCTGCTTCCATTGGCGCGGTGATATATGGAATGCCGAAGAGACGAAGCATTGTCTACGTATGAAAGTGAGTTAAACGGTATTCCCGATAACATAATGCGATGATTGTATTGAGCATACCATGATCTGTGCAATCATTGCTTGATTGACGTCTTCGGCATCTCGCATGGCTGCTTTCCGCTGCTCCCGCAGTTGACGGATCTCGTCATCGATCTCGGCCCTTACAGTGTCGAGATCACGACCTCGAACTTGTGCAGCGAAGCGAGCAAATTCACCCGTTTCTTCGTGAACGTTCATTTCATCGGCGGCGTCCCAATCTTCCTCGCGTTTATCAGTATCGTCTTGTCCTTTTACTCCACTTGGAGATGCGGCTCGAGACCAGGCTTCGTCTCCTGACGAATCCTCTGGACTACTGTGATCTACATGTGAAATGACAACTTGTTCAACGTCAGTCTTTGGGACATCTCTTGTTTCATTTTGTTGAGAGAAAGACAGGGATTTCGGCTCGGGCACTGTTATTGGGCCCGATGGAGTGACTCTAATCTCGGTACCTGATGCTACGCTAAACACAGCACCACCCTGAGTCTTTTCGACATCACCAAAAACCACAGTCGTCACAGCAGGGACGTCATTAGTGGTAGTCACTGCACGCTTGAACTGATTCTGAGATGTTGCTACAGGTGAACTTGATGATGCGTCACTGTGTACGTGCTCCAATCTCTGTTGGGCATTGGTCGCGGGATCGTTATTGGCGTAGGCACTCGGCAGCGCCTTGCGTGTAATAGCCTTGGTCTCGCTGATTGTTGAGGTGGACGACACAGGCGACTTAGCAATTTCGGACTTCCTCTGCGGAGTTACTGGAGAGGCCGAGACGACTTCTTTTACCCGGTTCTGTGGTTGAGGGACAGACGGTGTTGTAGATTCATATGGCTCAACTTCCTCCATGTCTTCGTCATCGTCCTCGGATCCGTCGATATCAATGACGGCTTTTTGTGCCGACAAGGCAGGTCTGGATATAGACGGCCGTGGAAACACATCCGTGGATGAACCTCCTGTATTTCGACTAGTATTAGCGAATCGAAGTGCAGCATCCAGCCTCGAAGGTGTATAATCAACATAGAGATCATCATCTGAATCTTCGTCAGTTATCGCATGCGAAACCATTCCGGATGCTTTGTCTGGTACGGCCTTACGGGATTCTTCAAGCGCCTTCCGAAGGTCTTCAGCTTCTTGGTCTTCCAGGGATGCCTGCATAGCGGAGAACATCTCGGCCTCCTCGGTGTTCTCCCAATCATCATCCGTCTCGTACTCCATTTCAACGTTGCCGTCTTCCGTATCGGGAATAAATAGCGGGTCCTTCTTTGGAGAAATCTTCTTTGTTGTGGTTGTATCTTTTGGTCGACCTCTTGCAGCTGCAGATTTTCGGCGACCCTCAACCGCTCCGAGTGCGAGTTCACGTTGATATTCCTTGAGGTCCGGGTCTGCCGCTTGAGGACTAAACAAATGATTTAAATGAAGAGAATGAGAAGCTACGCTATGCGTACGTACATTGTAACTTCCTCCATGTCCATGTCATCGTCACTCTCCTCGTCAGATTTTACGTGCTCATCAGCGTTGTCAAGAACGATCGGCTTGTCCTGTGTACCATCATCCCTGATTCCCAGCACCCAACCACCAAGTTCATCATCATTCCTAATCAATAAATATTCTTTGTTTCTCTCGCTTGCAATGCGGATAGGGATGGTGACGTTTGCTTTACCAATATTATCTGTCGTTTCCAGTAACTGCTGCGTGAGATCGTTGCGTTGCTTGAGGTTCTGAATTTGTTGGTAAGAGAAATCTAGCGGAGATTTTGATTTGCATAGCATTGCTTGAAGCCGTTTGTGTGACGTCTGTCTAGACTTCAACCTTAGGTCGCCGATAATTTCGTACTGTACCTCGGTGGGAAGTTCTCGAAAAGCAGGCGAGTGAACGTTAAGATCTTCCGGACGCATCATGTCGATGAAGGTGCGCAGTTCATCCTCAGTCGCGAGTCGTGGATCTGGTGCGGTTGACCGGGTGACTTTGGCGACCGCTGCATCCATGTCGACCTCTGGAAGACGGTACGGATCGTAGTCTTGCCATCTTGACTTCTTAGCTGAGGAAGGCGCCTCTTTGACTTTACCCTTATTTCTCGCGGGTGTTACGGTTAGGTGCGAGCCATCCAAGTCTTCCAGATAGACAGTATGCTCATCGAGAGAGACCGGTCCTCGAGGCGAACCAGACTTTGTCGAACTTTGGTATAGAGAATGATTGGTTCAAGAACAGGATAGTATTCAGGTAAAACGCACCTCTGGGCATGACTCAATGCCTCCTTTCTCATCTGGGCGGCCAAAAGCTTCTCTGCAATTCTCGCATGGCTTTCAGCGGCGCCACTTTTCTTTTTCTTACGTTCAGCCTGCCAAGTTGAATGTTAAAACGTTTGTGCTGCTTCGCAGTATGTTTTCGACGCACAATGGTCATTCGCTTCAAAGCTGGTGCACCACCATCGAATACAAACACAGGTTTGATGCCATAGAAGAGAAGTTTGCATATTCGACGCAGAAATCCTAGAACATGAGCATTGACGAGACCCCGGCCTTCTTTATCACGCATGGTAGCTTGAAACTGGTAGATCCAGATGCTTGAGTCGATCGCCATGGACTTGCCCTCTGCTGTTTCCAGCCTGTAGGATTAATGCGATTCATCAGAAGTGGCCACATCATCAACAGAGAAAGCACTCACATAACGGGCCTTCCAGCTGGAGAAAGCAAACTCCAGAGTGATTTGACACCCATTGCTCAGAACGCACCCAGTGGCAGGACCTGCAGATTGTATGAAATTCAAGTCTCAGAAGAAAGTTTTCAAGCCGTCAAGAAGTCATGAATAGTTTGAGGCTCTCGCATACTCGCTCATGCAAGCTAGTACCTCCTTTTTATTCTAAAATGGCTTTGTCATCGTCGTCTGAAGTGGAGAATTGAAGGTTGGACGCGTAATGTCACGCTCACGAGGAGCGAGTCACTCAAATCACGGCTCCGAGCACGTGGGAATTGTCTTTGTAATCCTACCATTTTTCAATTGTACAAGAATAGTAAATAATAAAATACTACTTTCATGTGGTAACTGGTGCTCTGGTACACTGAAGTCGTCACTGGTCTGATGCTTTTTATGATAAATTATAAATTAAACCGGTTTCCTCGATCGAGCTCTTTAGGACGTTCCTTCGAGACTTGACTCTTGAGCCAGCTCAGGCAGCCAGTACAAGAAGAACAACCACAAGATGACCAATACTACCGTGACGTACTCAATTTTCTCAGCCATGTCCCATATAAAGAACATGTGGCCTGCCTATGATACAACGCTAGCTGGAGTTGGCTAGTCAGCCGCCTCAAGTCTTCAATGTACATGGGTCTATTTACTATATCCCATTCTTAAGACATCCTTGTTCCTTAAGCGGTTTTAGGAAGTCTCTCAGTGAACAACAGCAAGGATCATAGATACTGTACCCATCTGTATGGGTACAACCGTAACGTGTAACGCAGGGGTGGTTTGGTTGCTAGCAGTAACGTGTAACACATAGCAGTAGTTGCTTTCCCTTAAGGAGCGTTACATAGTTTTAAGCGAGCATTATATTATATAAGACAATTCAAGTGTAGTTTTGTTACTTTTGTATACTACAAGTGTTAGAAAATTTGAAAAACTTATTGGATTGTTATGATTGAATTTATATACTACTGTTACAGTGCCCCATGTGGGCCATTTAAGGCCATTTCTCATATTATTGACTACTACAACTGTTTTACAACATAAAAAATATATAATTATATATTACAACATCTTATATAAAAAACGTTCGTTTTATTTTTGTAAAAAATTGAAAAATAAATATTTCATTGATTTTATAAAATGACAATCCAAAAGTTGTGCTTCAATGTGTCAGACCCACATGTGGGCCACCCGTGGGAAAGAAATTTGCCCACTGTATCTAAGTGCATATTCTCAGTACACAAACTCAGCTTCATTTCAATCTAGACTTAATTGGATAGGAAACAAAGGTAATTCTACTCTATTAGTTATATAAAGTTTATTTACTAATAAAATTTGTGTTTTTATCTACAGGAACAGGCTTATTATAGTAACTTAGGATTATTTACTTATATTCTACTATTTCCCCCCTACTCTCTCCACTCTCACACTATCTCTATGTTTCTAGTATGCTAGTACTTATATACAGTATATTTCTTCCTTTCCTGAGATTTGAGTTGTTGAGTTTGTTTAATAATCTCTCTCTTTATTTAGTTATAAATATTCTACTATTTTACATTAATACTAATCAAGCTCTTTCTCCTTTACTTCAAGCTCACATTCCTTCTCTTTCTGTTATCATAACTATACTACTTTTCAATACTTTATTATATCTATCATGAGGGATGGACACATGTTTTTTTTG